CTGGCCACAAAACGGACAACAGTACACCCGTTAGAAAAACAGCAGCACATAAATAAAATAAAGACTATAAAAATAATCTAAAGCTGGCGTTTTTCTGATGCAGGCCCAAGTAAAAATGCCATAGGGCCTTCAGGTTGCGGTGACGCGACCTGGGGGCCCTATTCCAACCTCGGGTCCCGTGAGGGGCCCGTGTGTAGGCTTTCAGCATGTAACACTTTCCCTGTCCAGTCCTGTGCTCGCTTGGAAATACTCTATTCGTCGTTTATCACCTTCCTTCTTGTTGTTCCTCATCGGCAACTCCTTTTCTTTCCTGATTTAGGACTTCCCTCACCTTCTCTCTTTTCATCTATCCATTCCCTCCCTGCGTTGGCGATCTCCTGTCCCATTCCTTGCCCCTCTGTCTTTTCCTCTGTCGCCGTTTTTGTGTTCTCTTCCTGTTCTGGCCACCCGTTCCCTCCTAGCCCCTCCAGCCCCCCCCTACGGTGTGGCGTGGTTGGCTATGGAGTTGTCCTCTCTGCTGCCCTTTGCTCTCTTGTGACTTTCAAAATTGGGTTTCGTGTGAAAGTTTGCGCGCCTTCATCGCAGGGCTTCCTGCGTACGGGCGCTCTTTGCTTCCCGTCGCTTCGACGGCCGTGGGACCGCGCAGTGGTTTGTTCATTAGCGTAGCGCTAACCGAGTTGGCACGAGCGCAAAAGAAACCGTTCTATTATCATTTCAATCAACACAATAATGTTACATTTTTCCTTGGCTGTGGGCTCATGTAACTTGCCGAGTTTGGGGTTCTGGCCATTGGATCTGCAATCTTGGCGGTCAGGAAGTGTGGAGTAGTTGTGCTTTATCATTGCATCGAGTATTGCCGCTTTCTGCGGATCGCATCAATACATTCGATGTGTTTCCGTATGGTTACATCGGTGGGATTTGGGTTGTCTTTTGTTTTGGCTGTGGATAACGGAGGATGCGAGTGATGTGTGCGATGTGTGTCAGAACTTCAGAAGAGGTTTAGAGCAGTTGCAACTGGGGAGGATATGTTCGATGTGGCTGGTCTGTAGGGTTTGTCTATTTGACCATTGCTGCGGTCCCTTTTCTGCAGCCACAACTAAGAGCCTGGCCACTGTCGAAATGAGAAAAGCACGAGTGCATATTCCAGCGGATAGTAGCTAGATGCATTTGTTGGTATAACTGGTAATAGATGCATCTTGCCACTCCCTGCAGGAACATGCACACATACTTTTTTTTTGTGTTGACAGTGGTGTGGCGAGGCCCTGTCAAATGAAAAGAGTACGACCGGATGTTCCTGTAGAGAGTAGTGAGATGCATCTGTTACCAGTCAATAGTAACGGATGCGTCTGTCCACTTCCTATGGGAACGTTTAGTCATACCTTTTTCATTTCTAGAGTGGAGTGACGCGGCCCTAAAAGAAATCGGCGTACCAACGGGGCTAGCTCAGTTGTTACACTCAGGGCTAAGTCCCCCTATTGGTGGGTTAGGTTTCAAGTGAGCACTGGTTCTTGCCATCCGATCTATACATCTCACGGCCAACTGTACCCACGTTGAAAAATAGTCGAAAGGGAGACTCAACCCCCGCTACTGGACTTAGCCCTGTGGGCTCAAGTCCCAGTAGCGGGGGTTCAGTCTCCCTTTCGAGTATTTTTCAACCTGGCCACAGTTGGCCATGAGGTGTTCAGATCGAATGTCGGCAACTGGCGCTTACTGAAAATCAACTCCGATGCCCGCCAATGGGACTCAAAGCGGGACATGGTGGACGCCGGGAGGTTGACGGAAGACACACCGTCGCCAAACCATAAGAGCGCGGTCGGCACACACACACGCACGCACACACACACACACACACACACACACACACACACACACACACACACACA